CCTGGGCGCCTCAGTCATCATCACCAACGGCAGGTGACCCGCTCGGGCGCAGGGCTGCCCGCGGGGAGAAGCCATAGGCCAGGCCTTCTTGGTTACTGTTTTACAAAGTCCAGCAGATCGAGGAGGGGCGAGCCGTGTATGCACGATATAAATTAAATATTTATACAGAGACGACTATTTTAATAGAACTCCGCAGCCGACTTTAAGATTTTCACCGTAGATGCCATAAACGCCGGTGCAGAGGGCTGAGACGCTGCGTGATGTGGGAGAGGATCGACCGTCCAACCTTTGTTCTCCAAGAACTGGGCTTCCGGGACTACCGAGCTGAACGTCTCCACGTCCCACGAGTGGCCTCAGACGATCCCATCGTCAGGGGACTTGGCGTCCTCACCTTGAAACCTAATGCTTTTTGCCTCGGCCCCGGACAGATAGTAATAGTCCCACATCGGGGATTTAAGGAGCTTCAACTCCATAAATATTTTCCACTTTAGGAAGGAAGCCCATCCTGGCAGTTAAGAGATTCCAGGTGGGTGGCAGACCTGGGAGGAGGAAGCCTACTGTACTCAAAAAGAGCCCTTTTAGATTCTTAGGTAAAGGTAGAAAGTGTTCTTGCAAGTCCCATGAAGACATGACTCCACTGTCTCTATGAGTCATTCATGACTGCCATTATTATTTTAATTTAGCCCTTTCTCCAATACAAAAATCAACAAGCTAAGAGGAAGGGGTAACATGCAATTCCATTGTGTGTGTGTGAACCTAGGTGTGCTTCACAAGTACATTAACAAGCCCTTTCCCACCTCCCCCAACTCTTGGTTACACCAATAGCACCTTCGGAATTTATTGAATAGGCATTAAATGCAAAAGTATATATATATAGTCAGATATTTTATGAGTATGACCCTGTCAAGCTTAATTACATGGCAAAGCCCCTCTGGTCCACACAGATCTGTAACTCACCGGGCTCGTGTTTGCTACAAGTAGTGCTAATTGAGTTAGTCCAGCTGCATGTGCAATATGGAAACTGTTCATGGACCGCACCTCGTGGAGGAAAATCGTGCTAAGGGATGTAATGAAACCAATGTACACATTTTAAGCATTTTCTGCATTTTATACATAGCAAGAAATCTTCATATGAATGTCATGTGTGTAACAGGTAAACCCCAATCCTTTTATAAAGCACCAGCAGTGTTTTAAAAATAAACTTCCATACATTTTTGTTTTATTTAAAATTTTTTTTTGCTTAAATATTTCACATTTAAAAATTCTATCACGGCTCTAAATCAGATCCATGCATTGAACCTCAGCCCTGCCATTGGCTCCGCATCCTAAATGTTGTATCGTGTTGCCAAAATTGGTTAAATTTAGAAAACTTCCACCTTTCTGAGTCAAAGAGGTTTTTGCAAATGTTTTTAGCTCGTCATTCTAGAATCAAAGTGTACCTACACCAACTGCTGAGAATGTGAACGGATCTTTTGCCATCCCTCGGTCACTTACGGAGGACCTGGACTCCCTATAGGGTGTCGGTGACCTCTAGTATGAGTTAAAATTTGCAACTTTAGGAACGTGTGTTATGCAGCAAAGGGACTGGACCCTGAGAAGGGATGCACACACCCTTCTACCGCACTTGGCTATACCTCATCAGCAGCTCTCTGTGAGCATGTGTGCACACAGAAGATAAGCCTAGGGTATTATTTTTTATGCTCATGAGTCTTAAAATTAATCCATGATTCCTGGAAGGTGTAGGTTTGCTTAGTAGGAGATATCACCAACAGTTTTCAATAAAGTACCACAAAAATGCCTTTGTGTGTATCTTGTTATTAACTTCTGGGGCTGTAGTTAGTAAATAGAAATCATGAAGGCTTTGGGAACAGTTTAATAACAAAGGTCACTGTTGAAGGAAACGACCCTATTATAGATGATAATATTAATAGGCTTAACAACGAATGCATATGTACTTGAAAAATAAAATGTGTACTAGTGAAAACGTCCTTGTCTGAACAAATGTCACAGTCTTCATAGCCCATAATAGGAAGAGTTCCATGCAGCCGGCCTCAAGACAGCCAGGAGCTCAAGGCAAAGTTAGCAGAGCAGTTACTATGGCAACCTAATATTGTTACCACCATCTTTAAGAGTCTGCACGTTTAAGCTGCGGATATCATTTCTTGACTTCTGTGAGGCTCTGGCAGAAAAGGAAGCATTTCAATAAATATGCCGCTCACAAAAAAGAAGAAAAAAACTGTAGTGGGCCCTAACACGTACCATGTTGACAAAAATGCCAGATCAAATGGATTTGAGAAATAAGCCCGATTCAAGACTGGCTCAGCCCTCCACAGGGCCTCCCAGGGAAAGGAATTCCTTTATGTTCTTGGAAGGCCTTTTCTAGAAAAGCCATTCCATTCATACCTTTGTACAGAAGTGAACTGGGTGTGAAGGACAACCCTGAGGAAATCTGTAAGAGTCTGTATTTTCTGTCCTCTCACCCCCTCTCCCCTTTTATCCTTTAAAAAGTCCTATCAGCCTTGCCTTCCACACTGAGGGTGGAAGAGGTTTTAAATGGTCAATAGACCCTGTGTAAAGTCTACAGAGTTCGAATTTATTGGAACTGTAAGACAGTTAAGGTAGACTGGGGGGGCTTCTACAGATACAATAGAATAACAATTAAATCTTTAAGTAAATGCCATATGATTACGGTGGCTTGAAATTTTAATGAATCATAACCCTTGGGTTATCTACAATGCATTACTCAAACTGGCCCTAAACTTGAAGTGTGATATATTATAAAAGGTTAAAATCTTGGGAGGGAAACTGTTAAGACAAAAGTCAAACAGTTTTCTCTCCCAAGTGAGAAAAATCTTAAAAGAACAGAATTTAGTATTTGTTACATTAAATTTATTTCTCATCCCCCAAAAGGTTTGCTTTGTTTTGTTTTTTTACTTTTGGGCTTTGCTGACTTTCATTCTTTGAGACAAATAAAATTTCTCTTTTGTTGACACATAATGCATTTGTCAAAAATACATAAGACAAGAAACACCAGACTTAATACCTAGAAATACATACATATTCCTTGTTATGTAAAACACTATTTATTTTGTAAAAATACATTTAAATATGAATAAAAGACTGTAAGCAAAATTAGTTGCCTATTTTTCCAAAGGAAACTTGTGGTAAAAATAAGAATGAGCCCAAACCATACTGAAATCTTAAAGTTTATTTTGGTAGGCTTGGTTTTTTATAGTAATTGGTTTAAAGTGATTCTTTTCAGAGACAGTTCTTTAAAAAAGCTAAAAATGCAAAGGTTACACTTTCATTTCTTTTCAAAGATGCATAGTAACTACTCAGGAATAAGGGTCATGGAGAGAAAGTATCTAGGGAATGCAGGCCTACAACAACCCTTCCCCCCCTTGCGGTCTCAAACTGTTGGGTGAGGCTGGCTTCTCTCCCATTTCCAGACCTAGGGGTAGGCCAGCACATCCCCATCTTGGCCTGTGTACCCACCCCTTACTCTGGCCTCAGTGAGACCACATCAGGCAGTCAGTGGGCTGCAGTGACACTCTGACCATTTTACACCGGATTCAAATCTGGCTTCAGCCACTCCCTGTCAGAATTTCCAGTGCCAAGGTGCACTGCTCAGTGGGGGCCACAGGAAGCCCAGTTATTGCTGAATCTCCATGGGTCCTCCTGAAGTCTGCTACCAGCCTGTAAAGAGGATACTTTACTTTTCACAAAACATGGGAGACGCTCAGTGCACAGCCTCCGAGCTGGGAGATAAGCTGGTGTTCTAAATGCCCATGCAGATCCTGAGTTTAGTGGCTACATTTTTGAGATTATGAGGAAACTGCAAAGTTTCTGTTAAGACTTAAAGCTCCTTGAGATCATAGGTTGCTGGGAGCATGAATGCCCCAAATCATAGAGTGTGGTGTGGCGGGGAGACAGGTTTCTCGAACGCTGACAACTTTCGGCAAAATGCCTGTATTCAGCTGTTCTATATGAAGCAAGATTGAAGAGTCTTTGGTGCATATGAGGCGAATTTGGGTTTATTTAAAGGCAGCGTCTGCTTCCAGTCTATCCTGTCTCCCTCAAGAAAACTGGGTGTCCTATGCCACTAAGAACAGCCCATTCTAAAGCGCCGAGGCCGAGCGGCATGCTGGGACTTCTCCATCTGCTCAGACATGGCCACACTTCATTAGTTTTAATTTACAGAAAGGAAATTAAATGATACCATTTTTTCCCAAAGCAGAATGTATGGAATAGAACTTCGGCTTAAAACAAAACATAGCATGTTTTTCATTAAATAACCCCCCAAAGAAATTCAAAAAGTCATGATGGCAGCTCTGAGAGATGACTTGCCTTATATTACCACGTTTCAGAAACAAAACTTGCAACTTTAGTCTGGAGATCTTTGTCCTTGAAGATATTCTGCAGACGCCCTCTCAAGGGTGAGTCCATTTTGTAATTTGGGGTGGTATGGGTTTGTATTTAAATTTGTCACTTATTCCACAAGAAGACCTGGGCATTTAAGACAGGATAACTTTTTTGGTTTGTTTTGAGAAAAATAATTCTAATTGAAGCCTTATTTGTAAAACCTACTTTTGAAGTCTCTTGAAAATTATAGTTCCAAAAAACACATATTGGGTTGGTGTACTTAACTAACCATGTTTCCCCCCTACCCCCTACCTATGGGGCTTTCTGTGCCTGGTTAAAGGTAGACAGATTTTAAACCGAAAACCACAAGTTTCTGGAATTAGCCTGACTGGGTAGGACCTGGATAGGGATGGTGCTAGTTTACAATGAGGGGATTTTGTTCAAAGCTAAGAGCTCCATCAAGTTTTCTTTCCACTAATTTCAGTTGAGACTGGCAGGAAGAGAGAAAAGTGGACAAAAATTGGCCTTTTAAGACTGAGCAGTAACGGGTATGATTCATGAGTTCAACAGAGATAGGATTTACATGGAAAAAGCCTGGGGTACATCTGGGAACAGCAAATGTATATCAAAAGGCTTCCTTTCTTTTGTTCTTCCATGAAGACTTTTAGAGCATCAGATTTTGAACATCTTTTAAAGCCACACAACACACACACACACACATACACACACACACATACATGCATTCAGGTGCACAGGCATACACACACACACACACACACACACACACGTACAAGCTACCCTCCAAACTGATGGGATTCCTTATCAATAACATTCTCTTTCTTGGCAATATAAGAAGAAAGGGGATGAAACAGTTTGAGTTATAAATAGATTCTGCACACTGTAGTCCTATAAGAATGGTCCACTTTTCAAAGTAAGCCTGAAACTGTCTTAAAAGCTCCAAATCCCCCCTCGCGTGTGGCATGAGAGTGAGCCAGCATCTCCAGCTGTTAGTACCAAATCCTCCTCTCCCACATCCAAGCGATGCCTAATCAATGCATTAAGGATCGTGAACTTGATCCCATCTCTTCAGAATAGGCAGTAAATTTAAACTTTGAAGTGGAGAGCTCATAAAAAATAATGTCAGAGTAAGTACCTGATTTTCTCCAGAACACCATGCATTGACACCCTCCGCTTGATGCATTCATATAGTACAGTGATTTAGACATCAGACCCACCACCAGGTGGAGAGTACTTCATGGAAGTGAATTTTCTTTTCTTCATTAACAAAAAATAAAAGAGCATCTAAGTGCCAATGTACGAGTTCTTGTAGAAAAATATCTCCAACAACAGTGCTTACCAACAGGGATATTCTACTTCTAACCATTGGCTTGGGCCCAAGAGAGTTTTTTTTATTTGTTTTTCTTTTTTCTTTTTTTGGAGAGGTTTTTGCTATAGGGCGTGTGCACTCGCCTGAAGGACAGAGAAAGACAGAAAGCAAGAAGTCACCCCCCAGGAGGGTGGCCACACCACAATCCCTTCTCCTCCATTCTCCTCTCAGGATCTTGGGCACGCACACGTACCCAGCGTGAGTTTAAGCCACTGGGTCTGGGACTCGAACCATGGTCAACTAAATGGGAGTCCAGCGACATAGCCATTACGCTAACTGCTGGTCCCTTGATTTTTTTTTTTTAAATAGTTTAGGGGTAAAGGTCTCCCATTTCTATTTTCATATAAAAACTATTCTTTCCAATAAATCCATGTCCAAAAAGGGGAGTCATTTCACACCTCCTCTGAGGCTTTACCTAAACTAATCTTCCACCTGTCAACGCTACATCCCAGAGCATCTTCAACCACCAAAATAAAATTAAAAAGAAAAAAAAAAACAATAACAAAACAAACCTTAAAAAAAGACCCAGAAAAATAGAAAAAAATTAGAGTCAACGAATGAATTGGAGGGGAAAATTTCACCGGCAACTGTTTACGGCTATCTAGTGTCGTGGCGAGGAGAGGCGGCCACGCAGCGTGGTGCTTCTGTGCCTCGTCCTGGGGTCCCAAGGCATTCCAGCTGCACGCTCGCCTTCGCAGGCCCTGCACTACCGCCGTTTGGGGAGGATGAGGTTTCTCAGCATGTCGAAGGAGTTGCCGTCCGGATGCACAGTCACCACCTCACAGCCCTCCTGATGAACCTGAAGGTAGCCAGAGTCATCCAGGCCGACAATCGACACCTTCGGCCCCTCGGCGCTTCCCAGGCAGACTTGCTGGCCACTGAAAGTGAGGAACAGGTGGTCACTGAGAATGCAATGGCACGGCTTAAGACGATCAGTTGAGTAATTACCCATTTATGCCAGGGAGTGGGTGGAGGCCGATCATGGTTAACACGCGGCCCAGAATGAGGGCCAGCATTCTTCTGTTCTCAGAAATTGTTTGAGTAATGACTAAGTCCAGGCGTGGGGGCAAGTCCAGCAGGGAGTTGGATTTTCCTTTATGCACCATGTCACTCCTTTCTGATCATTCATGATGATGGTCCCTACCACTTTCTTACCCCAGAGACATGGTGCAACTCTCTGGGATTTTTGGCTGAGAAGGGGGGAAAAGAAGCTGAGTTGACACAAAAATGCTATCTTAAAAAATGAAGTAGGGGAGCATTAACTATAAGTACGTTCTCCTGCTTCTTTTGAACATCTTCCCAGTGGACCTGTTAAGTTCCATTCTTGTTAACCGATTTTGATGGAGAGAATTTTTCCTCGAAATTTTTTATTTCGAACAATTTAAAACCTTCAGAAAAGTTGAAAGACTAGTGTAATAAGCCTCACATTCCCTCTACTTACATTCACACTAAACGATAATGCTTTCCATATTTGCTTTCTCTCTTCTCTCTCTCTCTCACACACACACTCCTTTATTTTGCTGTGTTTCAAATACATTGTAGGCATCATGCTTAAATACCTTAGTACGTATCGCTTGGGAACAGGAACAGTCTCCTACAAACCCATAATGCCATTATCACACTCAAGAAACTCAACCTTGGTACGGTACCGTTATCTAATACACAGCTCATGTTCCAATCTTCCCATTGTCCAATTAATACCCTTTGTGGCTATCCGCCTCCATCTGGGAACTAATTCTAGATCGTACTAGTTGTCATGCTTAAGTTTTCTTTAATCTCAGACAATTTCCCTAGTTATGTTTTGTTTTTAACACACTGATATTGTGTAGACTGGAGAACCCCTTAAAACACAGTGTGTGCTGGGCCCCAGATTCAGCCTTTCTGACTTAATAGGCCCAAGGTGGGACTTGAGAAGTTTTTTTTAATACTTGTCACAGGTTGTGTGTACTCACCAGAGAGAAAAGAGAAAGAGAAAGCCCCAATCCATTTTCCTCCCTGTCTATATCCTGTACACACACACACACACACAAGTCAAGCTACCAGGGCCAGGATCTGAACCACCACTGGCCACATGGGATTTGGCATCCTATACAGAGGGCTTAACTGCTGTGTTATGAGGCCTGGGACTTGGCAATTTGTACTTCTATTCTTTATTCTTTTTTTTCTTTTTCAATTGCAGAGGGTACATGTGCTGCCAGAGAGCAAACAGAGAGACAGGGAGAGAAAAGAGGGCGAAAACATCCCCTCTCCCTATGGAGCAAGGCCCTACTGCAATCACGTCTCCATTTCTCTGTCCCTAGGGGATTTGGGACCTGCACGCATACACACGTGGCATGCTATCCAGGCCAGCGAGGTGAGCATTTGAACTGTGGTGGGGCGCCATGTGGGATCTGGCTCCCTTAACTAGGCTCTGGGGCTGGCCCAAGAATATGTACCTCTAACAAGTTCCCAGTAAGCTCCCACTGCAGCCTGGGGATCTCACTGGGAGAATCATTGTTATCTAGAATGTTCCACGATTCTAGTTTGTCTGATCATTTTCTCACAATTAGAATCAGACTGAACTGATTTTAAACTCTCTGGAGAAGTATCCTTTTCACCACATCCCTCTAGGAGGCACAAGGTGCCAGCTCCTCCCATTACTGGAAATGCAAACTTGGCATTCTTTAGGTCTCTCCGCAGAGACGTAAAAGAATTACCCAGTACTCAATTCCTCATTTCAAGATATTGAACCATGTACTTAATAGGTGCATTTTAAAAGACTGAAGAGGGGCCAACAAGTGGCATAGTGGTTAAAGTGCTGGACTCCCACGTGGCTGTCTGCAGTTGGAGTCCCAGACCCAGCAGCTTGAAACTCACACTGGTGCGTGTGCATGTTTGCCCAAAGTCCTAAGAGGAGAAGGGATTGCAGAGTGATCATCCCCTCTGGGGGTGATTTCTCACTTTCTCTCTTTCCATCTCTCTCTGTCTCTCTAGTGAGTGCATGCGCCCTATAACAAAAAAATCTCTCCAAAAACAAAAAAAGAAGAGCCAACACTGACCTGTGAACCCAATATTTGTAGTACAGGGGAAGTATACCGTTGGGCCCTTTGTCCTGAAATGTGTCGATCAGTTTCTCCAGCACGGTCACAGTTCTAGCTATGAGATAATCAGCTCGTAAGGGCTTCAGCTGTGCCTTGTGTTGCTTATTGTACTCTGTGACGAGGTCATTGATGCATATGGTCGGGTTACTGTTAGTCACGTTAAATCCACAGCCTGGAAAACAAACCATCAAAACAATGAGCAGCTCCACACGCTGACGGCATCATACTCCTCTCCATTTCCTGGCAGAAGTTACAGCTTCCATTGTCAACTTCTACTTCTTCATTTCAAATTTATTGTGTCCAGGGGCCAGGCAGTGATGCAGTGGTAATGAACTGGGCCCACATGGGAAAGGTCCTGGGTTCACATCCTGGGACTTTCTTAAATACGCCATGCACGCACGCTCATGATTCAGGCCAGCTTAGACTGGACCTAGATCACAGCATGGGGACCCTAATGGGGATGCCTCTCTCCACCTCGCTGCCTTCCTTGTCTCTCTCATGGAAGAAATAAATAAATCAACTTAAAAACTTGGATGGTCTCGGTCACTTAAGAAAGTAACATGTCTTTTTTTCTTTCTTTTTTTTGAAGAGTTTTTTTTTTTTTTGTTTTTTGTTTTTTTGCTATAGGGCATGTGCGCTTGCCAGAGAGACAGAAAGTGAGAAATCAACCCCCCAGGAGGGATGGTCACGCCGCAATCCTTTCTCCTCCATTCTCCTCTTGGGATCTTAGGCACGCACACACACACACGCGCCCGGCGTGAGTTTAGGCCACTGGGTCCAGGACTCGAACCGTGGTCGACTGCATGGGAGTCCAGCGACATAGCCATTATGCTAATTGCTGGTCCCGAGAGTAACAAATCTTTGAGACTATTTTCCTTTTTGTTCTTCCTTACTAGTTTTGTTCCAATGAGGGCCATCTTGACCTTACTACAAATAAGTTGGAAAAAAGAAAGCCATGTTTGATTCCGTTTAGTTAAACAGAAGCTACTAACGGGACAAACTTCCTTAGTATTATTTCTAGTGTTATCTCATGCGGTCTAGCCAAGAACTATAGCTCTGCACTAAGCCTGGTATAAAATAAACTCTGCTTCTTCTCCTCCTATGTGTCTAATAGAACACATGCTTAAAAATGAGAAATTCTGTTCAGGTCTAAAAAATAAACTCTGGCTTCAGAGACTTCAACCTTGGTCATGGCATAACCCTAAAACATATCTTTTCATACTTTTTCCTTGGAAGTCTTTGGTACTAAAGTTACACTGTTGGCAAGGAGCCAGCCTGTGTTCAGCGGCTCTTTTTCAGGGTCCAAAACGATGGCATCAGGAGAGAGGCTACCAAAGGCTGTGTGGGCATAGGCTGATCTGGGCTATTACTTAATAGCCCCATCCTCTCGGAGAGAGGCTAGCTTCTTCCGCTTTCAGCAAGGCTCTGCGACAATTTCAAACAGGTCTTCAGTAAGAAATGAAGTGCTGTGAGAAATAGGCAGTGAGACTACCAGGTTTCCAGTATCCCCAAGAAAATCATTCCCCGGGGCTGGCAGCTGGCCAGGTGGTTAAGGCACTCGACTCCCACATGGCCGACTGCAGTTCAACTCCTGGACCTGGCAGCTTGCTTTCTCACTTTCCTCTCTCTCTCTCTTTCTCTCTGGTCAAATTAATAATAATGATAATAATAAGTAAATAAATAAAATTAATTCTTTAAAAATTTTTTCCCAATATTCACTTCAGATAGAACAATGACCTTTGTAATCACAGTATTCCCCAGTAAATATTCTGCCATTTTCAGTGTAAAGAGAAGAATTGATTGACCTCAGATTTTTTTTTTTTTTTGAGAGGTTTTTGCTTATAGGGCACGTGCACTCACCAGACAGAGACAGACAAAGAGACAGAAAGAGAGAAATCATCCCCCAGGGGGGATGGCCACGCCACAATCTCTTCTCCATTCTCCTCTGGGATCTTGGGCACGCACGCACACGCACCCGGAGTGAGTTTTAAGCCACCAGGTCCGGGACACGAACCGCGGTCGACTACATGGGAGTCCAGTGACATAGCCATTACGCTAACTGCTGGTCCCAGATTTTTTTTTAAAAATACACTGGCAATTAAAATACAAAGCAATGTAGCTTATACTTGGAAATAAGTAACTAGAGCAACTGGAATTGCAGGTGTTCACTCATTCAACGGTATCTATTAACAACATCTGAAAGTGCCTCTTGAATTAAACGAAGGGCTATTTAGTACTGAAAATTCTCCCCTGCATTCTGAAAGTTAAAATCCCTAAGAAGAACATCAACACTGAATGCTGTCACCTTCAGCTGTGTCCTTCCAAGGACCAGCAAGCATCCCACTGGCACCGCTGAATCTTTTCCCAAAGACTCTCCAGAGCCCACTCCCAAGGTCTTAAGAATTTAATGAAAGCTCTGGATTTTCCCATAGGAAAATGTTTCATTTCCCCCATGTTTATGAAATTCGTTAGCTTCCCAAAGCCATCCATGGGCCTCTTCGATACTTCTAGACTCTACTAAGGAATCTGTGTCTTGTCAAATGACTCATTTAAAGATAGGAAACAGAGCTGTAAGGGGATGAAGGAGCTTGCCTAGAAAAACACTGCCAGTTGGTAGCAGAGCTAGAAACATAAGCCTTGTATTCCTTGGCCAGTACTTCCAACGCATGGTCACGAGTCTTCTGTCCATTACTGAGTTCTGAACACCAATTAAGTTCTGCTAGGCATTAGGGGGAGGCTGATGGTTGATGTACAGGGGACTAAGAACTTCTGAAAACTGCTCTGAACCCATCTCCCTGCCTGATTTGAAACTGCTGAGAGGAAAAGGGGATTCATTACCTTACCCTGAACGCCTGGAACTTCTGAGGATTAAAAAGGCATTTTTTTTCATGGCCTGGAAAAGTCAAGTTAAACATGCAAGATCCAGGAACAGAAGCATAGAAATTAACTTTCTTTTTCTTATTACAAAATGGTACATTAAGTGTACCGTTTTCACCATTTCAAATTGAGTGAGAAGCAGTGGTGTGGAGAGATACAAGAAAATGCCTGTTTGACATGATACCACTTTGATGGTCTCTATGGCCACAGGTAGGAGATGCTAGCCCTCCACCCCCAAAGTACTTTCAGTCTTCTCTGCAAGCACACCATGCTCTGTAACTACAAGACTCCAAGAAAATTAATCTCGTATGATGATCTTCGCCCCTCAAAGTAAGTATGCACAAGCCATTTTTATTTTCGCTGGCTTATTAATCTAAAAATGCTGGGAAAAGACTTTTATAACTTACCAATAAGTATATAAAATGTTTCTCCCATGAGTGTTGAGTTAACCAGCACTCCACCAATCTTCATGAGGTCACTGTAATAAATATCGTTGGGCCACTTCACCCGTAAGTTTATATCCTAAAGGAAAATCTGCACATTAATTAAGAAAACACAGGACACAAAGGGACCAGGTGAAATCATTTAGCTAAAAGAAAGATGAGCAGAATACTATCAAAAATAATGGAACATGGACTTCATCTTCTCTTCTTTTTCAGACAGCAATAACTTCTTTGGGACAATATAATATTAAAGTATCTCTTGGGGCTAGATAGCGAGAGATCTAAAGAATATATTCAGCATAAATCTTAGCATTCTACCCTCTTCACGGTTTCTTTTTCTTTTCTTTTCTTTTCTTTTCTTTTCTTTTCTTTTCTTTTCTTTTCTTTCTTTCTTTCTTTCTTTCTTTCTTTCTTTCTTTCTTTCTTTCTTTCTTTCTTTCTTTCTTTCTTTCTTTCTCTCTTTCTTTCTTTCTTTTTCTTTTTGGAGAGGTTTTTGCTATAGGGCGTGTGCGCTCACCAGAAAGGCAGAGAGAGACAGAGAGATAGAAAGCGAGAAATCACCCCCCCAGGGGGGATGGCTATGTTGCAATCCCTTCTCCATTCTCCTCTTAGGATCTTGGGCACGCACATACACGCGCCCAGCGTGAGTTTAAACCACCAGGTCCAAGAGTCGAACCATGGTTGACTACATGGGAGTCCAGCGACATAGCCATTACGCTAACTGCTGGTCCCTTAACTGTTTCTTATCATTAAAAAAACATGTACTGGGCCAGCCAAGGTAACACAACATTCCATGTTGCTGAGGCCACATGGAAAGGTCCTGGGTTTGCATCTGGTACATACTAAGTGCAGGCATGTGTCCATGATCCAAGCTGGCCGAGGCTGGGGGCAGATCACACTACAAGGACCCTGTTGAGGGTACTTGTTTCTCTTTGTGTCTCTGTCTTTCTTATGGAAGAAACAAATAAACAAACAAACAAAACCTACTTTCTACGAGGATGAGGATGTGGGGCGGTGGGTGAAGTGTAAATGGTGCCAGCATTAAGGAGCTCATCTGGAACACCTGCACCTTGGAGACTCTGGTCTTTGTTGCTCTCCCAAATCCCCTTCCTTTCTCCTTTCTTCTCTCCCTTCATCTCACCTGTGCCCATCAGAATGGCAAGGAGAATAAGCCCCTGCCTGGGCAGGAGAACACCCACAGAGTTCTCAAAACACAGACATCATGTGGGCGGTGGCTTATTTCCCAGCTGGCCCTGACCTCTGGCTCCTGCTTGACTTCACACCTCGGATCTAGACAGTTCATGGTGCAGTTTATGAAATTTTGGGTTCTCATGCAGGTAAATAAGAATATCTTTTCTGGGGGCAGCAGATGGTACAGCGGTTATATTGCTGGACTCCCACATGGCTGACTGCAGTTCAAGTCCCAGGGATCTGGTGGCTTGAACTCCTGCCCGGCAATGTGTGCATGTGCGCCCAAGATCTGGGGAGGAGAATGGAGGAGAAGGGATTGTGTCATGGCTATCCCCCCTAGAGGGTGATTTCTCACTTTCCCTCTCACTGCCTCTGTCTCTCTCTCCAGTGAGCACACATGGCCTAAGGCAAAAACCTCTAAAAAAAATCTATTCCAAGATGAAGAGAAGGGTTGTACACTTATTTTTCCTTTTCTCAGTTATTCAAACAGTTGCTATGATTCTCCCATGTGTAAAGAACTATTGTAACTACTGCGGAGATAAAATAAAATGCATCCTGCTTCCAAAGACCTGGTAACTTTGCAGGAGTGAAGACAGAAGCACACATAACTCTGCTTCAAAGCAACATGTGGTAGATACCATAAAAGAGGTTTAATACTTAAAGAACTGTAAGGTTGCAGAGGCAGGAGTGCTGGAGCTGTGGATCTAGATGTGGCATTTGAGCTGGGCCTCAAAGGATGAACAGAATTCAAGATATTCAAGATGCAGAGGAGAAAACAGGGGCAGAGGCATGTGGGTGAGAGGGAGGGGTAAAGGCGCCCATGGGGATTTCACAGACAGAAGGAACAGCAGGCACAGGGGCAGGGACCCCTGGTAGGCTCTGCAGGAATGGCAAGCTGCGTCAGGTTCAGGGAGCAGGGTTGTAGGTTCTTGGTGGTTATGTCTGGCTGGGGACAAGCTGGGGCTCTAGCAAAGGCCATGAGGAATGTGAACTCTACACGGGGGGTGCTATTTCAGCCCTGTAGTCGCTGCACTGCGCAGGTCATGTGGGCTATGCTCAAAACAGATCCAATTCAAAATCAAAGTCACACCACACAGGGGAGGCTGGGTCCGGACCGCTATGGGAACAAAATAATGTTTAATTAATGGGCCAGCAAGTGGTTAGTGGTTAAGGCACTGAACTCTCACAAGGCCAACCGTGGTTCAAGACCTCAGACCCGGTAGCTTGAAAGTCACACTGGGCATACGCACGCGCACGACTAAATCCCCAGAGGAGAATGGAGGAGAGGGGATTGTGGCATGGCCATTGTGGAGGGTGATTTCTTGATTTCTGTCTCTGTCTCTCTGGCATGTGCACGCGTCCTATGGCAAAAATTTCCCTCTTAAAAAAAAGGGTTAGTGAGAGTTTTATTTATTTATTTTTTTCCACAGGGCTTGTGCGCTAGTCAAAGACAGAGACAGTGAGAGGAAAACTGAGAAATCAACTGTTGAAGGGATGGCCACACCATAATCTCTTCTCCATTCTCCTCCTGGGATTTTGGTCATGTACACACATGTACCCAGCATGATTTTCAAGCCGCCAGGTCTGGGCCTCGAACCACAGTTGGTGACATGTAAGTCCAGCACCTTTACCACTATACCACCTGCTGGCCCTTAGTGAGACTTTCTTAAGGAGAATGGGGACACCCCCCAACCCCTGTGCACAGTGAGGGCAAGCTTCCCACCTCCCACTCTGGAGGTGCTGACATAGCCTCTGCACACAGCAGTCTGGGAGGGTGCTCGCTGAGCGAACCATCAAGGCTTCAAGGGCAGAAGCAGAGCAGGACAAGCTCAGCACTCATTCCATGCTGTAGGCTCAGGCCTTCACTTATTTTCTTGAGTGTGGCTAGGGGTATAAATACCAGGGGACCTCAAAAAGTTCTTGGAAAAATAGAAAGAAAGTACTGATTGGTCTTGGTGCAAAAAAGTTTGAAATCCATGCACAGTATTTTCTTTCTCTTTTTTTTAAAAAACTTTATTTTATTTACTTATGTATTTATTTATCTTAATTTGACCAGAGAGGGACAGAGAGTGTATGAGAGAGAGAGTAGGAAAGTAAGCCACCAGGTCTGGGACTCAGAAGGTGGTGGGCCATGTGGGAATCCAGTGCCCTTAATCACCACACAACCTGCCAGCCACTCATGCACAGTATTGTTATAATGCATATTTCTGTGAGCTTCTGGAAGACCCACTGTACCTTCTCCAAAAAGAGAACTTTATTTTTTTCCTCTCTCTCTCTCTCTCTCTTTAAATTTTTGTTTGTTTGCTGTGGAGCATGTGTGCTTGCTGGCGAGAGACAGAGAGAGAGAGGAAAAGTGAGAAAGCACCCCCCATTCCCCGCAGCGGGTATGGCCATACCACAGTTCCTTTTCCTTCATTCTCCTCTTGGGATACTGGGTACACATGCACATGCGTCTGGTGTTTTTCTCAAGGCACTGGGTCTGGGACTCAAACCACATAGTCAACCATGTGGGCTCCAGCTGCCTTAACCATCATCCTACTGGTTGGCCCAGGAACTGTAGATATCAATTGTTTTCTTTTTAAAAAAATTGCTAGAGTGCACACTCTCATCAGAGAGAGAGAGAGAGGGAAAGTGAGAAAGCAGCCCCTAGGCTGGATGGTTACATTGCAATTCTTTCTCCTCCATTTCTCCTTCCTTCCGAGATTTTTAGACAAACACGCACATGGCCCCAGTGTGTTTTTCAAGCAGCCAGGGTCTGCTTGAAAAAAAGCTTGCCCTTACCAGGATGTTGGCGAAATCTGACCAACAGGATGGAAAGGGAATCCTGGGGGGAAATGCATTCTGCCAAGCCTGAAGCCGCAAGAAAACTGGATAGTGAAAACAAAAAACCAACAGAAAACCCCAACAGGATCGTTGGAGTTTTAAAAATGAGGGCACTTAGCTACCAGCTTTGCAAAGGGCAGGCTGAGGTTCAGTTCTAGTTCTACCCACAATTATGCAAATGTGCTTCGGGAAACTCTAACAGCATGGTCAGCCATGTGGGATCCAGCTGCTTTAACCACCACACCACTAGCTGGCCCTCGCAACTACTTTCTGAAAGATGAAACAGATGGCTCAGTCGTTGCAGGCCACACACTGGCAGATTCATGATGAGCCAGAAACCCATCAGACATATCAAGGACGCTGGGTGCCTGGTAATAAATGCCCACGTCAGTGATTTGGTATAATATGGGGGCACAGACTCTAGAATTACCTATGTTTATGGAATACCAACGATTTAAACACAGCAAATGTGAGGATGTGGCCACATGGGAGGAGGACTTCAGAGGACTTCATTTAAACACCAACAGCACCTGTGAGTCGTCATTGAGAATCATAATCATCCTTTTAGCATCTTACTTCAGGAATCAATATGATTTTTCCTTTTTTCTGTTACGCTGACAAAAGAGCTGTAGGTTGGAGGATGACAGAGGAGGAATCTCCTTCTACCTATATGAAATTTTTCCAAGAAAATTTAGGAGGGGGCATAGAGAGCGAAAGCCTAGGTCTGTAAGAAAAGGCTTTTTAAAAAAGAAAAGAAAAAGAAAAGGCTTTAGGCACAGTGTTAACCACTCTCTTTCCTTCTTAATAACTGACGCCAATGTATCTGAGGGTAATAATGAAGCAGCACATCTGTTAACAGCTGGGGGAAGAGAGTCCTAGACAAACTTAGATATCAAACTTGGTCAACTATAGACAAAGGACAGTTCTGCTGAATACAGACTATGGTAAACAGAGGCAGGAAATGAGAATGGTTTTTAGGTCCATAAAACAAGCCTTTCTTTTTTTTTCTTTTGGAGAGGTTTTTGCTATAGGGCGTGTGCGCTCGCCAGACAGACAGAGAGAGACAGAGAGATAGAAAGCAGGAAATCACCCCCCAGGGGGGATGGCCACGCCGCAATCCCTTCTCCTCCATTCTCCTCTCGGGATCTTGGGCACGCACGCACACGCGCCCAGCGTGAGTTTAAGCCACCGGGTCCGGGACTCGAACCGCGGTCGACTACGTGGGAGTCCAGCGACATAGCCATTAACGCTAACTGCTGGTCCCAAAACAAGCCTTTCTAACAGAACACACAGACCTAGATCCCATCCAGTCCAGCAAACCTCACCCAGTGCTTCAACCAAAAAAAAAAAAAAGCTTGCCCTTACCAGGATGTTGGCGAAATCTGACCAACAGGATGGAAAGGGAATCCTGGGGGAAAATGCATTCTGCCAAGCCTGAAGCCGCAAGAAAACTGGATAGTGAAAACAAAAAACCAACAGAAAACCCCAACAGGATCGTTGGAGTTTTAAAAATGAGGGCACTTAGCTACCAGCTTTGCAAAGGGCAGGCTGAGGTTCAGTTCTAGTTCTACCCACAATTATGCAAATGTGCTTCGGGAAAAAACAAAACAGGCTGGATTTTGCATGCTCACAGGGGTGGGAAGGAGAATGAAAAGATACATACCTGATACTCGGGAATGGACCGCACAGCCTCCACGACAGCCAGGGACATTAGATGCTGGACAAATGGGATCCTCTGTCCCAGCTGGGATCTCAGTGGGATGGAGATGAGCAGGGTAGAGAGAGCACATCCCATGGGGCTCAGCCATGCGTTCCTTCCTCGTCCTGGAACACAGACCCATGGGGACATGTGCCCTTCACCACACACACAGACTCAGACAGGCACAGTGCTGGAGCCACCCGCAGAAGCGATATCCCACTTGAAGAAACCTGGATTCATTAAAATGCTTAGATATTCTCCAATTAACGCAATAAAATGTTTTAAAAGCTTTTTTAAATTTGAAGTTCTACTGGTGAAAAACTTTCCAGTAATTCACATAATGCTCTGCCTCTGTGAGCATATCATTCATGCTTTGATAATTCAAAATCTTACAGTGTATGGACATCACTGAGTTTGATTTTTATGATATGGCCATGCAAGAGAAAGCAGAGACACTGAGAAACTGGACTGAGCTGTACTAATGCATGAGAGGTCCCGGAAGATGCTTTTCAGGAGTGATCCCTGTCATGGTGACAGCTGCACCACCAGCAAATACATAGTCCCCCTTATCTGCAGTTTTACTCTCTGGGGGTTTCTGTTACCTGTAGGCAACTGTGGTCTGAAAAAACATGAATACCATATAGGAAGATGTTTTGAGAGAGACCACGTTCACATCACTTTCATTATAATATATTGTTATATAATTGTTTTATTTCATTATTATCTGTTGCCTGTGTCTTATTTATAAATTAAACCTTATCACATGTACGTAATTAGGTATAGAAAAAAAATACATATCTAGAGTTTAGTACTCTCCTAGGTTTCAGACATCCACTTGGGGTTTAGAACACATCCCCCGTGGATAAGAGAGGACTGCTGTATACTAAAAGCCACAGAGCTGGGGGCCAACAGGTGGCATGGTGGTTATGGCACTGGATTACACATAGCCGATCATAGTTCGAGTCCCAGACCCAGCAGTTTGAAAATCATGCTGGGTGCATGTGTGTGCCTGCCCCAAATCCCAAAAGGTGAATGGAGAAGAAGGGATTGCACCATGGCCATCCTCCACTTTCCCTCTCTGTCTCTCTCGCACAAGTGCATGCACCCTGTGGCAAAAACCTAAAACAAACAAACAGATCATCCAAACTCACAGAGCTATGCACTTTAAGTTGAAGGATTATATGGTATGTGAATTATATTTCTAGAAAGCTGTTTTTAAAAAGTGACTCTTGAGACTAACTCTGTGAGTTGTTACTTTTCTTTTTAAAACTTTTAAAATTGTATTTATTATTACTATCTTTAAATTTGACCAGAGAGACAGAGACAGAGAGATAAAGTGAGAAAGCAAGCCACGAGGTCTGGGACTTGAACCACGGTCAGCCATGTTGGAGTTCAGCACTCTAACTACCATGCTGCCTGCTGGCTCCAAGTTGTTACTTAAATAGAAGTGAGGAAAATAAAATATTCAAGATGAGAGGTACAGTTAATCAAAGTTCTTCTATAATGTCTTTTTTTCTTTTGATAAAAATATTTTTCATCGTCTTTGAGTTATGTTCAAACGATATGTTCAAGAGAAAGAGGTGGAAAATAGTAGATTTATTTCTTTACTTCTGAGAAAGTCGTAAGAGCCTCAGAGTTCAAAGCGCATTTGGGTCAGCCTGGCGCCAGCTGGGAACCAGGAGGGGCAGGGGCCAACCATGCACAGAGCACCCCCATCAACACTGCCTCCTGTGCAGGCGCTGAGCAGAGACCCTGCTGGCAGCTAGACTTTGGGCTCTGGGAGGAGGCAGGCTCTTGCATCCGAGGATCAACAAGGGGCTGGGTACCCTGAGCAGTGCCCACTGCAGGCCAAACCCAGTGTCAGATGGGGCAGTGACTGGTGGGACCTCTCCATATGACACTCAATATAACACAGAAGGTACCTCACAGGGAACCTTCAGGGAAATACATGTCTTCATAACACAGTTACAGTTCACAACTGCAAAGCCCTGAATGTACCAGAGAGAAGATTTTCCAAGAAGTAGGTAACCGGATGTTAAAGCCATTATAAGCAAACGTCAAATGGTTAATAAACATCAGAGTTTGAGAGAGTGCTTTAACTCTAAGGCTACATTTTCCGGTTACTGTTTCCTTCCTTGCTCCTCCATTTCGGAGTGTACACAAACAGAAAGGGCTTCTAATGAAAGTCCAAGAATGATCAGCACACATTGTCCACGGGATAGCTGGACACGAGAGTCACAGCTTTTAGAAAAGAAAAATAACAGTAACAATAACAAAAGATGACTGACCTTTGCCCTGGGTTTGCCGGACTGCGATCGCTATTAAACCCATTTCCTGCGGCATCTCAAACATCAACCTGCAAATGGTGGGAAAGATTGGTCAGCCAGAACAGGGACATGCACATGAGAACGACAGCTCTTGGACAGAAAGAGGGCCAGGTCTGCATTCATCTGTGGGTGCGCGGCTAAGGACGGCCAGCTTCTGCAGACACGTAAAGCCAGGAGGGCTCTCGGCCTCCTCTGCACCCTTGTACTGCGAATGACTGGAAAGGAATGAAGACAATACCATTTAATATTAGAAGAGATACTGTACCTGCCAGAGCTGTGTTTCCGTTTGTTTGAGACTTGGTTAGATTAGATTTCTCCCACACATCCTATCAAGTGCTTCCTGCCCCCTCTGATGGGTGTACCTTCTTCGAGTGACAACTAGCAATCCCTGACATTTGTTTCCACTTACGGTGCGTTTCTGTGTGAACACTAAACACAATCATAACAGAAGTTTCTGATTATTCAGAAAACCAATATGGTGGCAATAAAGCCGTTTAAAAGATACACTATCCCCTGAGAACTAATTATGTTTTAACTATAGTAAATAAATCTACACCTTCTGAGAACTCAAGAGAACCCTGGATCATTTTAGGCTTCAGTGCTGCTTTTAAACTGGTTTCATTTAAAAGAATGCAAACTTCCCTTTGGGAAAAAGGCAGAAAAGTATACTATATTTCCACCAAATGGGTCAACATTAACTTTTTTTTCAAAAAAGGAAAGGGGGGAGAAGCTCTCACTCTGAGAATTTCTTCAAAGCTATGTTCTACGTAGTTTAACTCCGTGTTGGAACGGTTTTCTTTCTAGTTGTCAGCTGCAGTCCCCAGTAGCTGCTATTCAGGTATGAGCAGAAATTGTTTGTGGTAGGATTTATTAAACAGTGAAATCAGGGTTGCCCAGTTGTCATTGCAGCTGGGAGGGACTCTGAAATACTTTATTTTTGCAAGAGGAGGATGGCAAGGGCAGGGATGAGGGTGGGATGATATTTTGTATGAACATAAAAGTTTCTAAAAATAAGCCTCCTGCATCCTACAGCAGCTATGCTGGGGAGAAAGAAGCTTTCTAATGAAAGGCCATGCTCTGAGAAGCTCCACGCTCTCCTCTGGGCTAAGGAACCAGGTGGCACTTTACAAATGACTGCAACTCAGTGGAGGCAGAAAAACACTTAAGGGTAGAGAAAAACCACCACCGATGTCTCCCTGTGCACCCACAGCTCGCAGCACTCCGCCCGCCTGCATGTATGACCTGGTTAGACAGGTGGGGCCCAGAAGACCCCTTTTCTTGTTATGAGGACCTTGCGTGACACTGAACGGGAGACGTGGCCGGCCGGACAGCTGTCTCCCCACAAGGCTGCTGGAACAGGCACGCACCACCCCGGGCCAGTCCCACTTCCATCTCACATGAAATACAGCTCCAGAAGTATTTCTCTTGGACACTATGAATAACTCATTGAGATTGAAAGTGCCTATACACCGCTGGGCTCCAAGAATAAAGCGTCCTTTTCTTATGTTGGGCCGGCGGAAAATCCTAAAAAGGATTCTTTGTTAATATTGTCTTCCAGGAACTTCTCCTTTCTAGAGGGTCCCTGCAACCCCTCACCTAAGCTCCTAAGGCCAGGGGCCTCTCACAGGGAATGTTGCTGGGGGTGGGAGTGATGGATGATTTAGCACATTGTGAGCAGAGTGTGAAGGCTCTCTGGATTGCACAGAATCTAGGATGTTCTTTTAATAAACATGTAGACGGTAAACAGTCATATCACATACCCAGCGATGGTGATGGGGGTAGGGGTGGCAGGAAAAAGGTTGGTTCAGAAACCAAACAGACTTCTAGAACAAAGAGTAATGATTAAGGGAATGTATGCACTAAACTGCTAGAGGTTTGGCAACAGTTAACAGGGCATATTAATGAGAAGAGGGGCCCGTGCTGCTGAAGGCCAAGAGGAAATTCTGCAAGGAGGGAGACAACGGGGGAAGGAGTTAATGCTTCGTTCTAGACAACTGGAGGCCGCTAGATTTATTTGTGCTATCTGAGATAACTCTGGGGGCCAAACCACACTGCTCCCAGTCAACAAAGAAGCATTTATGAGCTTTGTAAATTTTGCATTTCTGTAAAGTGAAGTTGCTTGAGTTTGCTTTTGCAGAAAGGAGAAACCATAAATGCATTTCCATCCTTAGCTGATGGTGTCCTTCAAATGGAAAAAGAAAAAAGAAAAAAAGATGGGGTTATATAATGCCTACCACCCTGTTTCTGTATATTTTCTTTGCTTGTTGGCAAAGACTGTGGAATGAGAGTTGTGTGAGTGGCGGCTGAGCACAGTCATTGTAGCACCAAAGGGCACTGGAGAAAAGTGCTCTGTCTTGTACGTGTGTGTTCCGGGTCTGAAACGCCCAGAGCCCACTGAGGGTCACTCTGCAAACAAGACAGCCTCCTGGCTCCTGTGGCTGTGAAGCCATCACAGCAGCTATAGGTGCTCTGCCAACAGAAACGCTCTGCCTTTCATGGGGTCAGAGGATAAAGACTAATCTACGAGAGTATGAATTAGTGACAAATCCAAATGAACAAAACTTTAAATTCAGACCCAGTCCATTCTCTTTGAGGATGTAAATGTTAGGAAATAGTCCACATTCATGACAGTGTCATAAAAGTAAAAATTGGAAAATAGGGATCAGCAGATGGCGTAATGGTTATGGCACTGGACTCCCATATAGACAACTGCGGTTCAAGTCCTGGACCTGGCAATTTAAAACTCATGTTGAGCACAGGTGCGTACGTGCCTGCCCAAAATCCTGGGAGGAGAATGGAGAAGAAGGGACTGTGGTGTGCCTCGTTTTCTGTCTCTCTGTCTCTCCAGCAAGCACATGTGTCCTGTAGCAAAATCTCTTTTAAAAAATTACGGCAAATAAGCTAACCATTTAATAGAGGAATAACTAAAATAAGGTCTATATTATAGTACATAAAGCCAATGGAATAATTTGTAGTAATTAAAATGACAGAAAAAAATGTTTGCAAGAGAATACTAAGTTAAAAAGCAGGAAACAAAAACTACATATACTTTTATTCCAACTATGTAAAATTCATAGAAAAGGGAGGAAAGTTTGACAGAATGTTAGTAGTAGTTATATTAGGATAGTTTTTTTCTTTATTTTCAAACTTTTCTTTAACATGGTTGATTACCTTTTGATTTATAAATTATTTTGGAATTTACTTAGAGAAAAAGTATGGCTTTTATGCTTAGATATAATATTTGTAATTAACTATTCATCAATATTTCTAATAAGACCAAAGGATGTCCTTTAATAGTAAAAATATGTCTGCAGCACTCACTTTATTATAACTAATGAGCAAAAGCCCATGTGATAGTCACTGGAGAGCAGGAATTCTAAAATCAGTCTGTTTATATGCAGTGTCAGCTTTATGCATTTTAGACTTTCTGACCCAGTGACTGTACTTCTAGAGTTGAATCCTAACGAGTATTTAGACAGGAAACAAAACAATTCAGGGGCACAACTATTCACAACAGTATTACTGACACACTGTGAAAACTCGGAAACGATCTAAACAGTTCACGACAAAAGAATGAAAACATCCCAGGACTCCATGTGAGAGAACATCAGACAGCCATGAGCGACACGAGTCGACATGTGTCAGACATTACTAGGTGACTCGCTCGGATGCAGAATCCTGTACACAGCAGGATTCTAATGATGTCATTAAAAACTGTTAAGGAATATGCCAGAACATTAGCTGTGATTTTCCTGGGGAGTGGAATTGTTTGAAAAATACAGAAAAGTACAAAAGGGAAAATATGCTAAATGAATAAGTCCCTATTCTTTTTTTTTTTGGAGAGGTTTTCGCTATAGGGCGTGTGCACTCGCCAGACAGAGAGAGAGAGAGAGAGAAAGCGAGAAATCACTCCCCCATGGGGGATGGCCACACAGCAATCCCTTCTCCTCCATTCTCCTCTCGGGATCTTGGGCACGCACGCACATGCGCCCGGCATGAGTTCTAAGCCACCGGGTCCGGGACGTGAACTGCAGTCAACTACGTGGGAGTCCAGCAACATAGCCATTACGCTAACTGCTGGTTCCCAATAAGTCCCTATTCTCATTAAAAGATTATACTTGTTTAGAATTTCTCTCCCTTTAAAACAATACACAGATATATTTTATAAGGTATGTTTCTGATCACAAAAAAAAGTTTTATTTTGGAGCTATTAAGATGATACTATGGATATATAGTAGTTATGGACATTTTTACTATATTGATAAGTAAAAAAAAAAAAAAGGAAAGGCTTAAAAAGAATATGATAGTAAGATTCACTTTTTTTGTTTGTTTTTAAGAGTGATTTTGCTATAGAGTGTGTGCACTTGCCAGAAAGACAGAGAGATAGAAAGCGAGAAATTACCCCCCAGGGGAGACGGCCACAGGGCAACCCCTTCTCCTCGATTCTCCTCTTGGGATCTGGGCACATGCATGTGTCTGTCGTGAGTTTTAAGTCACCAGGTCTAAAACTTGAACCATGGTCGACTACATGGGAGTCCAGTAACATAATCATTATGCCACCTACTGGTCCCAAGATCCACTATCTTAAAAAGAACTATTTATTTAATTTTATTTGTTATTATTATTTTTTATTTTGACCAGAAAGAGACAGAGAGAGAGAAGGGGAAGTGAGAATGCAAGCCTCCAGGTCTGGGACTTGAACCATGGTTGGCCATGTGGTAGTTTAGCGCCTTAACCACCACCTACCTCCCAGCCCCTAGATTTGCTTTTATAAGGTGTGCATTTATAGAATACAGGACACAAATTAACAGCAGTTATCTCTAGAAGGTAGAAATAGAATTATATGATGATTTAAATTTCTTATTTATGTTATTGTATGTAATCTCTGGTGTGTAAGACTGCAAGTGATTTTTATTTCCCTTCTTATACTTTTCTGAAATTCCCAATATTTCATTAAGGGAGTGTATTCATTTTATAATCAGGAAAAATGCTATTTTAACAAAGATTTATTTAAACCCGAGTTTTCTTT